CGTTGCGTTGTTGTCGAAGCCACGTATTTCTCACCGGCGGGAGATTGAAAAACAAATTTATGGCGTACATTTTTTTTGTTTTCTTCTTGTTTAAATTTCCATTTTCACCTTCAAAATGCTTTTATTTCTGTTCCTTCTTGAGCACGAGAATTGAATGTTGGATGAAGAGCAGCTCCTACTTCCCATTCATTGGATAACTGAAGATACCTGAGCGAATCTCCCTCAACATGTGGGTGACCGATTAGACTTTGAAAAATTGACGAGGAGACATGTTCTCGCAGATATCAATTCACAAAAGCACAGGTTATGGAGCTGCTTGAACGGCTAGGCATCCCAGCGACGTTTCAAGCTCCGTCGTTACACGGTTGCACAGGATTGGAAGGGCGGCTGGTGGGTTTTGAGGCGTCTTTCGTATCCTAACTAATCCTTGGCGGATAATGCCGGCAGAAAAATTGGCAGAATTCGGTACTTTTTCTGTTGAGTTTCATGCATGTTTGGTACATGTATGTGGATAAAGAAATGAAACAGAATTCGAGGAATTGCCCGCCATAAGGTTTGTATGGTTCTGCCAATTTCACTGCTTTTCGAGCAGAATCTGCCACCTTTTCGAGCATTATCCACCAAGGCCTAATCCTAACACTTTTGGTGATAATTATGTCCGGAGAATTTGGGAGGTCCAAACCATCACTGAGCATCGTGTTCAACATCACCGTGCAATGGATTTTTAGGAATTGAGATGATTTGTTGACCGATCCGTTTACCCACCAGTTCCTGACACTTTCCAGATTTGCCAAGTTTTGCCAGACAGTCCAACGAAAGACAAGTGTGCCACTGGATGTATAGGGCTTCATTGATGGCACCGTTAGGAGTGTTTGCAAGCCGTCTATTCACCAGCGCATGTTCTGCAACGGACATAATGTCGTATCCATACTATTGACACGTGCCTTTTAGGCCTCTACGGGACAAGTATGCCTTATTTAGGTGTCTAATTATTTACCTATCTCCCGCAAACGGGTTCATAATCGTCTTTATTTTATGTCTTCACACAAGGCCTGGGGCCTTCCTTATTTGGTATACGCTGTTATTTCCCCACATGGCTCCCGGTCTTTATACAACAGTTCGTACACATATTTACTACGGTTTTATACGCTATTGCATGCGGGACCAGCAATCTCGTGGCCATGGATTTCCAGGGCCGCAACTCCCTATTGTTGCTATCACCTTTTTTTTCTCTCTAGCTCTCTTGTCTTCAGCCTTCAGGCGGAAGCTTCGGCTTTCATCTGTCTTGCCTTGTGCTCTCAATATAATCTCTTGAACTAAGTTAGCTCCTTTCAAGATGTGAGTAAACCTGAACGCTGGTGTGAGTGTACGTGTCTGTATATGCCTGAGTGTGTGTGTGAGAGTATGTCTAGGTAAATGTGCGTGCGTGCGTAAGAGTAATTCTGTCGGTGGACTGTCTCCAAATGGCCACCACTGCACGGCCTTGTAATGTGAAGGTTTAGTAAGTTAGTTCTTGTCGAACCACAGCCTTGGGGTCTAACACCGGGCGTCCGGATACGACACATAAAAGGATTCAAGCCCGCAAATACCAGGCCTGTGTCACGGCTGATGGCATGGTTTGCCTCTTATTCCCATAGCTATGCAGAAGACGTTACTTCAGTAACGTCTGGCGCTAGCCAGGGTACACACAGCGTTAATTTGGTATTTGTTTGTTTGTTTGTGTCACGCCCGGCGCTATCCCGTGTCTGTCCCGTACTGTACCGTACCATCGATGACAGCTGGCCAAAAACAGCTGGCCACAAAAGTCAAATTGGGCTTTCAAATGCAAGATCATAACGTGAAGCTACTTGGAAGAATTAGTATGTATGCGACGTTTATCACTCTTCTATATCGACCTCCGCTAATTCTCGTGATCCTTGACTGTTCCTACATTATCCATATCGCCGCAATATCGACCGCTTGTATTGACCGCTTGTATCGACCACTTAGGACCTTAGAAAATTTGAAAGAAAGACGACAAATGAAGAGAACAAGCAGGATTCGAACCCATAACAGCATGAATCTCAAGCAACCCCTTATACCACCCAGCCACTGTGCTGCAGAGGCTGAACCCTATTGTTCTTGGCAACATCCTATGTACACTATAGTACAAATGCTAAACTAAAAAGGTTAAAATAGCTCCTAAAGGTTCAAATTTTATGGTTATTGCAAAGGAATCATGATAAATAGAATATTGACCTCGACTTCGGTCTATATGGGAAATATAGGCCTCATAAAAGACCTCGGCGGACCTCGGTCTTTTACTCGGCCTTTATTTCCCATATAGACCTCGTCTTGGTCAATATCCTATACGTATCGGGGGAAGCATTCAGGGCGATAGTGCAGGTTCGAATCCCAGGTTATGTCTGGAAAAAAATTAGAAAAATGAAAATTTTATAACATCCCTATGCCTTTTTTTCCTAAGTCACCAAGGCAAAAAAGCATAGCGTAGGGCCCTGAGCTTCCAAGCTCTCTCGTTTGTTCCCTTTGAAGGCTAACGGCACGATTCAGGTGTTCTCTTGGAAAGTGGTTTTCTGCCTAGGCTGCAATAGTTTGCCAGGAAACCAAATGGCCCGCCCTGCGCACTGTATGGAGATCCCGCATACCCACTGTCGCCGTTTCTTATGAAGGCCTATCAAGAAGCTGCGTTAACAGCTGAGCAACAGGAATTCAATATTATTATTATTATTAGATGCTTCTTCGCGTTGGCATCAATGCAATGTAGGTATACACAGCATGTATAGCTTTCGCATAAGCCGAAGCGACAACTGCCAAACAGGAATCCTATTGATGGCGATATAAAACATATGCGATGTAAAACGCGTGACGAAAATAGAATACAATTAAAACAAGCAAACGAGCAGCTCAACCGAGTTGAATTTGAATTTGCTGATCATTATTCAATAGAGCTATGATTTCTGCACGTATGGAGATGGAATGGAACTTTGGTGATGTTGTTGCACAGTGGGCGTTCAATGATTTCAAGAAGCAGCAGAAGTTCATGCTTCAGCCCGTTGCTGCCTGCTACAAGGTGTCTGCACTCCTCACAAATTGCCGTACCATCTGCCGAGAAGGCAACAAGACATTAAAGTATTTCAACTGATCTCAACCCACCTTAGTAAGAGTATCTAAAATGATGTTAGCACTAGATCATTCTGCTTTTGTGCCATCTCTCCATTTTACAACAAACACTTAGACCATGCAATAACTGTAAACATCGTGGCTGTGGATATGCCCTGTACGTAGCAATTTTAAAAACAGACTACGTTTAGTCATTCATTCAATTATGGAATGGTGAAGACTCTGTTATATTTGTTCAATGAAATTCCATGGTGAAATTGGTCAAAGAGCGTTGATACCACTGCTTAGAATGTCGTTACAATTGGAATGGTTACAGGTACTCAACTGTGAAGTGCTGGGTGAAAGCTGGACTAGTGGATAAGCTACAAAGCAAGAGCTGTTCTTTCGTGCAGAAGTGAAAAAAATATTGCATATTTTGACAGTGGCTGCCATTTGCTGCAGAAACATACTGCGTTCCTCATGGTCCTGATCTGCCTTATGCTTGCTTTCTTGACGGTCATCTTCTGCTTTCTTGCTCTCTTCTTCTTTTAAACTCGGATGTTGAGCCATAAATAAATGTAGAAAGGGAAAGGACATATGGATACGAGGAAGAGTAATTCTCCATTACTGTAACTGGATACTATATACAGTCAGAAAGTGCAATAACTAGGCACAAAACTGACAAGAGTACTGAGACATTCGACGTCCTGACACCTAGCTTCAACACATCTTCGTGGCGCTAACTGACAGCCTTCCAACTTGGAAGGTTCAAGGTTATGGAAAGACCAAAGAGGGGAAGGCAAGCGCAACGAAAACGAGCAAAAGGTAGAGTCCCAAAGGAACAAAGAATGGCGATTGTTACTGGACGATGACTAGACCAGTACGATATTTGACAAAGCGGTCTAACTACAATTCGAATATAGTATCCAGCTACAGTGATGGAGAGTTACTCTTAACTCGTATCCATGTGTCGTTTTACTTTCTCTTCTTGTTCCTTTTCTTTTTTGACGCAAGCTCGTCCCGTCGGGCCTCTTCCTTCAGGGAAATCTTCCTCTCCTGGGAAACATGCACAGAATCACCAATAGAAAATCAGGTGCATCAAATTTTCGTGAACTTCAACACGGATATGCCATTGATATAATGTGTACAAATTTGGCATATTCGCCAGTGTAGTCAACAAAAAATTGGGAATATAATTCAATAAACAAAAAAACAATTGAACACATGAACAATTTGAAGGAATTTGAATTTGAGCATCTCTCTTTAAATTTATTCAATACAGGATGAAAGTAAAAATGGGTCATACCTGCAGTGCGAGTCTTTGCTTCTCCATTGCGACTACATTTGCACTATGATAAACAACAAACTTCTCCTCCTCCAAATAAACTTTTCTCTCCTCAATCTTGAGAAGAGCATCATTTTCCTTCTCGAGGTACGCAATAATAGGATCCGCTTGATCGTACGTGCTGCTCCGCTTGGTTTCCTGGGGCCGGTCCTCCGCTGAAGATTTCTCCCAAAGGGTTCGTTAACGACATCATCCATTACGGGCAACCTACGAAAAAAGGATTTCCTGATCCACGAATCTGTCTGAGCAGGACCAAGTCCATGCTTGAGTCACAAACTATCCGTTGCCTATCCCGTGTAATAGGTGTTGGAGGAACAGGTGCAGGCAAATTTGAAGCCATAGTACACTGACACGTTTAAGGTTAGGGCTGAAAGAAAGAGAAGAGGGAAAAGGCTGAAAAATCTGAAACTAATCCCGCTAAACAAGAACCAAAGCAATATTCGTTGAAAATTTCTTTTCCGTCGAGATCAGAGGAACTTCAGTAAGATCTTCGTAACCTTGTTCCCGAAGTACGAAAATGGTGAACGAAAATCGTTAGCGAAAGGTCTCTACTCACTATTGGTGACGTAGTTAAGAACATTCTGGTCAACTGCAGTGTGACCATCCACATCATTAGCAGTAAGTGGTAGCACAAAGACAAAGCTACACAACTCCTCTGAAAGTGTGAACGGATTATGTCGAAGTGTCCTGAGAGACAAGAAAAGAGCAAAACAGAGGGGCGGGTTTTTGGAGAATTTTATTCCCCTTATCATTCTGTGAGAACCTGTCCTATGGGCAGGGGAGAAGGCATCTCTGCCTGTTCAGTTGGTGAAGTAAAACAAACTACAACAACAACAGTTAATAGCAAGCGCAAGTGCTTCAGCACCGCAACACTTGACATTAGAGGGGTTTCACACCGCGTGCAACGTGCTTACTTGACGCGCTCGAGAGTCACCTGCGACTTCTCTCTCTCTCTCTCTCTCTCTCTCTCTCTCTCTCTCTCTTTCTCTCTCTCTCTCTATCTGTCTATCTCTCTCTCTCTCTCTCTCTCTCTCTCTCTCTTTCTCTCTCTCTCTCTCTCTCTCTCTCTCTATCTGTCTATCTATCTCTATCTATCTCTCCTCTCTCATCATGCATGCGTGACACTCTCATGGAATTTTCTCTTATAGGATTGTATGCTTCACACTCTCATGTAATATTTCTTTCCTTTCTTCGTCTTTTTGTGACAGCTTGGATAATCCACTTGTACAGACAAGAATGCAGGATGGTTTGTTCATTCTGGCGAAGTAAAATAAAATATACCAACCAATCAACCAACTTACAGCAGCGATGCCAACATGCGTTGGAAACGTAGAAACCGGTCTCATCGCGTTGGCGCTTGACAGCCCAACACGCGCACAGCATCTTCGTCATTAATGAGTTTCGAAAGTAGGAATGGATAACTCACTTGGACATTTTTCTCTTTATTTGCTACTTCCTTGATCCTCTGAATTTTATCAACAGGCTTGTTGAATGGAGTTTTGCAGAAAGGGAACTCCACGAAAAAAATAAAATTTGATATCCTGTAAAGTTTCGGGCGCTGAGTCGAATGGTCTTGGTCCGAAGTCTCTAAGAGAAACCGTTCTTGAGATAATTATTTCAATTTTAGCCACGCCCCTATACCAATGTATGTGTGACGTCATTGTGGCATGGTGCGAAAATACGTGGATTATGAATCTCACTTTCTTCTGGACGAAAGTCACTTCCGAAAGTAGTTTGCCAAGTCGCCTGAGCCGCTGCGATGCCAAATTGTTGTGTTGTTGGTTGTGCCAGTATCAAATAATCCTCCTGGGGTTAGTTTTCTCTAGTTCCCGAAGGATGGAAGGATGGCAAAGCGCCGAAATGTTGCAATGCGTCGTGAAAATCTCAAGCCTATTTTCGCCGCCCGAGCTATATTTGCTCGCTGCATTTATGATCCAAAGCGGCTTGAGAGCTCGGTTTTGACGAGTACGCGGTCCAGGAAAGCCCTCATCAGTGTGCCAGTGCCCTCCGAACCGTGAGCCTCCAGCAAAGCGAACTCAATAAGCTACAACTGAGAAAAGCAGGGCGATATACGTTCCTTCAGGATCAGAAGAGTACATCACCCCATCAACTCCGACTGCAGCTAGCTGATGAACGATATTACCCCAGTAACTTGCGCATACCAGCACTCAAACTGTGCACATCTGTCATCAACTGGGACGCAAACAGACTGACCCCCAGCGAGTGCGAAGGTTACAGATCTGTTTGCTTGCGATGTGAAGGCAGCATGCACGACAAACTGTCTCACCAATCCTGCCAAACTGAACCAGTGTAAATTGATTGCGTGGATATATCTCTATTTACAACAGCTACACTACTTTTAGGCATGGTTGCATGAATATCATTTCAATCTGATCAGCTGTTAGAAGTCTGGACAGCCTAGGAATAGTGCAAGTAAAAAAAAAAAAGTAAATTATCGTATCCGTTCCCGAAGGGAACTCACGACGGCCGCTAACACCCGATAAACCCAAGTAAGGTGAAACAAAATTAATTACACTCCGAGTTCCACGCTTGCGGGATCACCAGGCCTAAAAAATCCTAATTTCGAACAAGGAATGGGTTTTGTTGTATGCAAAAGAAACGTAATTGAAGACCTATTGTGCAAGGAATACAGTGGGAACTGCACATATTATACACATGCACTCACACCTTCACCCACATGCACGCGTGCGTGTTCATGCACACACACACACACACAAGCACAACAACACACTCATATCCGCACCCACATATTCAAACTCACTCGCACACACGCTAGCCTAAGGATAGTACATGTACATAATTATGCTGTAGTAGTGGTGTCCTTAGTGAAATGACAATGTGTACATCTAATGACGCCACCACTCTACGCCAGAAGACACCAAACATCTGCCGAACGTTTTGGTTCCTTTCTCGTATGGGCAACACAGGGAATGAAACGAACATTGCAATTGAGAACAAGTTTCGTCCTGTACGGAGAAGTTTCATTTTCACGTACAGCAGTGTAATTATTGTCTAAGCAAGTGTGTTTTCTCTACATTCTTTTTGCCAGCAGGTAAATCACAGTGTCATGCCAAACTACATTCTCAAACGCATTCGTTTCTCAATTCTGGGGATGATTGGACACGCACATCTCGCAGCTCTTGACGACGTCAATGTCAACCGTCGCCACAGCACAACCAAAAAGACCGCGATAGGAATGTATAAAGTCCAGTTCTCAAAGCATAAATAAGACAGTGGGCAAATAGAAAATTATACGACAGAAAAAGCTATGAGCATGTTGACAAGCTCATGTGTGAGGCGGTAGCGGTTGCAAATGGCAACCTCGATGTTCCTGCCTTGAAGAAGCGCGCTTCCCTGCCAAATTCCAGTTGGAAGCCTCCTAAGAAGGCTGAGGTGGTGCTGGATTTGGATATCTTTGCCTCATGGTATTCACAACACAGGCTGGAAGACGACAACGAACGTGCTTGCCCAATTTGTGGTGTGCATACAGTGTGTACTGCCTGTGTGCCGCATAGCGTAGAGATCTACACAAACACAGAATGTCATATGGAATGTGTATGATGATTGCTTGTACACATACCACATTGCTGTACCGTGATAGTTATTATAGTCAAATACTCATTTACTCTACATATGCGCTGTATTGTCCCTACTGGTACCTACCTGCACTTTCAGTGTGCGCGCCATACTAATTTAGTGTCCACTGGTACAAAGGTGTTGCAGAATTTCCCATAATCGTTGATTATCAATTCAATTCCAATTATCTGGGGGATGAGTATTGATTAGAACGCGTTTGATTACCTACTAGTACAGAGATGTCTTGGTCGGAAAGTACAGAGATGTCTTGGTCGGAAAGTACAGATGTCTTAAGCTGCATTCGATTGAAGAAACTGGATCCCGATCCCCGCCGATCAGATCACTTCGATCGGACGGATACAATCGAATGTCCACAACCGATTTATCCGTTTCAAGGCCTTAGCAACCGCGTTGCTACAGCTCATCCCGTAGTATCTGTGTGCATTGTGGTGAACTCGTGACCTAGTGTATGCATATTGGGAGTTTTGAGTAGATATGAGTCGTACCATGGAAATGAATCCATCAAAACCATCTCTGGGAGGTGGGTTGGCTGGATCCGAATCCGTGCTCTTGGGATCCGGATTCGTACAATCGAACATGTACAAATTTGGCAAATCCGGGTCCGGGGCTCACGGATTCGTACAATCGAACATGCCCTTACTCTCCTGCCAGAATTTGTGCATTATTTTGGTGTACGCTTCTTGACGCTTGTCCGTTGCATGACATGGTATACTAGAGAACGAGTTTATTGACAAAGTATATCGCTTGAACTGATAAAGTAAGGGTTCGGGTTTGACCAAATGCATCCATGGTGCTCAATAACTCTGTGTAGTGCTCTCTTCACCAAAAGAACACTACCATACTTCGCAGGTCTTGTACCAATCCAAGGGATAATGACAGAGACAAAATTAATGTGTTTGAGTCATGCATGAAAACTTGTGATAACTACTAGCACTATAGTACAACGTTGTTCGTGCTATGCCTGACAACAATAAGTTACACACAAAACACTACACGCATCGATCCTCACAAGATATGTCAAGACGAACTCGTAGCAAAGAGAAATTTGTTTGTGTCATGCATAAAACTTGTGGCAGCTACCAGTACAATGTCTTTCTTGTGCGACGCCTACTGTAGTGCACCTGACAACAATACATTTCCCCCAAAAAATAAGTGTATCATGCTGATAAGCAATCTTGACAAGACAAGTCAAGGCAAACTGATTGAGGCTTACCTAATGTCAGACTCTTCTGTCACTGGCATTGGCGGCTTCTGCATGTCGAGATAACCTAGAAGAGCAGTGGTGGGCACAGCCTAATGCAAAGTTACGATCTCGTAATCTACGAGGTCCGCTACCCAAGAAATCTTGGGCCGTCTTCTCGACAGCGACGGCAGCATCCTACCAGCAAAAATCATTCCCGCCGGCTGGGCATGGCTATACACTTTTCTCCACGCTCGCACCACTCGGAGTCCCAAACGAATCGAGATTCCGGTGGCCAAGCTACTCGTCTTCTGTCGGACGCTGCTGCTGAAGCATCTTCTTCCTCAACATTTGTTACACGCGATGGAAGCTCCTCAGCAGAGTATCTGGGCTCCCTACGCCAACCATACGCTGTTGGTCGGCTTTCCTGGCCTCAACATCGCTGCCTTCATTGCTGGGGACAGAGGATTGTTCGGAATCGCTCATCTTCCCTTGAAATATCAACTAAAATTTATGCTTGTAGATTGGCGAAGAGAAACGACTATGCCACAATGACGTAGGCAGCCTGTGATGACGTAGCGAGATGGCCGCATGATGTCAGGGCGCAGCCCCGTTTTTGCAATTTCAAAGTGAAATATCTCAAGGACGCTTCGTCGTAGAGGCTTCGGACCAAGACCATTCGACTCAGCGCCCGAAATTCTACGGGATATCAAATTTTCATATTTCGTGGAGTAACCCTTTAAGATATTCTGGTATACCGACCTTGATCAGGGTTATCTCCAATCTTGCTTCGATTCTCGGTTTGGCTGTAGATTTTTCTATTTCTTTGAAGTAAGATGTGATAATATACAGATCATTTTTCTTCAATTCATACCCTTCAAGATCCTCTGGAGTTACTTTATTTTCCAAAATCACCATTTCTACATCTGTTGGATATTATTCCTGGTTTCTATTGTCAATGTAGTCTGCTACCATCTTATCTTTCCTGGTAGAGTGTTCATCATCTATCGATATATCCATGACTTCTTCTTCTTTGTTTGTGGAGTAGTCGTCATCCATGATTCCACTTCTAAAAAAATATTTTTTGTTTTTGTGAATTTTTATGACTACTAGTACCGTTTACAAATCGTTTGCTGAAAATGTTTTATAAAAACTACAACAAGTTTGAGACTGAGGAGTATCATCGGTCTTATCTTTGAACCCACTTCAGTTGAACAGAACCATTGTTGGTGTCACCTTGCTTGATCTTGTTGTTTTTTGATGGATTGTTGTCCTCATCAAAGATAGCACAATCAAGAGCAATTTGGAGAAACAAGATTGGATGTTCACATTTTGCTGTGCTAATCCTGCTTCTGACCGTTTTCTTCATCTTATACACCTCAAGATCCTCTGGAGTTACTTCATTTTCCAAAATAATCGAATTCTACATCTGTTGGATACCATTCTAGGCCTCGACCAAAATATGCTAAAAAAGAGCATATTATGCTCGTCGCATATCTGAGAAAACGGCCATAAAATGCCAAAGGCTTAGGAAGATATGCAACAAGATATGCCAAAATATGCCAAAATATGCTCGACATAAGCAGAAAGTGTAGATCATTTCAGTAAAATTACAACCTTGGAATATTCATTGGCTTCACGGCTATCATGCGTATGGTGCAAATCAAAAAACATGCTAAATGGTATGGCTGGGGTGTGTCCCCAGCAACCGCAGCGATAGTGTTCATCCATGGGAAATGTAGCAAACGCCTCAACCTTTCCAAATTCATCCATAAAAGGCCTTTCTGAACGCATTTTGTCCATAATATGAATGTTTTGTCCCCATTTTCTTCAGAATATTTGGATTATATGCTGGCTTCATTCCAATATTCCCTTTGTCGCTCAATATACCATATATGAACTGTCTCACAAAATATGCGGAAATATGCGCAAGCATATTTGGTCGAGGCCTATGCTATTCCTGGTTTCTATAGTCAATGTGATCTGCTATCATTTTATCTTTCCTGGTAGAGTGTTCATCATCTATCCATGTATCCATGACTTTTTCTTCTTTGCTTGCGGAGCAGTATTCATCAAACCACTCATCCATGATTTCACTTCTAAAAAATGTTGTTGTTTTTGTGAATTTTTATGACAACTAGTATCTTTTAAAAATCATTTGCTCAGAATTTCACTTCTTTTTTTCTGAAAATGCTTTATAGCAACTACAACAGGTTTGAGACTGAGAGTATCATCGGTCTTATCTTTGTTCACCCACTACAGCTGAACAATACCATTGATGGTGTCACCTTGCTTGATCTTGTTGGTTTTTGATGGTTTGTGGCCCTTATCAAAGATAGCACAATCAGGAGAAATTTGGAGAAACAAGATTGGATGTTCACATTTTTGCTGTGATCCTGCTTCTGACTTGTTAGCGATGTGCAGTCTCCTGGACCTATGCAGGTGCGAGGGCAGTACACCAATGGAGCTAGATCTCTGGCACAGCACTACGAGCTAAATGAAAGGATTAATTCATCCTGGCATAGGTGATTGGAGAGAGTATGACGGACTATCTTGGTAAGATGCGACGTTCCCCAACGCAGCGAAACATCTAGTCACAACAACATCATGTTGAATGAAATGAAAATTCGTATTGCGTAATAAAATGACATGAGTCATGATGAAAATTTAATGTAGATCTGTTATTTCTTCTTTCTTGGATCTTCTAATTAGAAAACAAGTGCCCATTCTTCTTTTATTGCTTGCACACCTGCTAAGCTTTGTCTCTACTTTGTGTCCCTTGTTTTCTTGGAGTTTGGGAAGGTCTTGGAATCCTTAGTGTCATTGATACCAGCCATTCTGTGACATGTGCACAATGTATGCTTATTTATGGCACATATACATATCAGATGGGCACCAAAGTTTCCATGATGGAAGTTGGATATATACACATCACTTTGGCATGAAAAAAGAAATTTCCCAAAATTATGCCTAAGCCACCTTTTAGCTTGGCTCGGCTCATATGCCAAAGGCTTAGGAAGATATGCAAAAAGATATGCCAAACTATGCCAAAATATGCTCGACATAAGCAGAAAGTGTAGATCATTTCAGTAAAATTACAAACTTGGAATATTCATTGGCTTCACGGCTATCATGCTTATGGTGCAAATCAAACACATGCTGAATGGTATGGCTGGGGTGTGTCCCCAGCAACCGCAGCGATAGTGTTCATCCATGGGAAATGTAGCAAACGCCTCAACCATTCCAAATTCATCCATAAAAGGCCTTTCTGAACGCATTTTGTCCATAATATGAATGTTTTGTCCCCATTTTCTTCAGAATATTTAAATTATATGCTGGCTTCATTCCAATATTCCCTTTGTCGCTCAATTATATGAACTGTCTCACAAAATATGCGGAAATATGCGCATGCATATTTGGTCGAGGCCTATTCCTGGTTTCTAAAGTCAATGTAATCTGCTATCATTTTATCTTTCCTGGCAGAGTGTTCATCATTTATCCATGTATCCATGATTTCTTTTTCTTTGTTTGCGGAGCAGTATTCATCAAACCACTCATCCATGATTTTACTTCTAAAAAATATTGTTGTTTTTGTGAATTTGTATGACTACTAGTATCTTTTAAAAATCATTTGCTCAGAATTTCACTTCTTCTTTCTGGAAATGCTTTATAGCAACTACAACAAGTTTGAGACTGAGAGTACCATCGGTCGTATCTTTGTTCAACCACTTCAGTTGAACAATACCATTGATGGTGTCACCTTACTTGATCTTGTTGGTTTTTGATGGTTTGTGGCCCTTATCAAAGATAGCACAATCAGGAGAAATGTGGAGAAACAAGATTGGATGTTCACATTTTGCTGTTCTATCTCTTTTTCTTGATACAACGGATGTATTTACAAATGTGACTGTCAGAAGAAAGTTTCAGGGAGTCCTCTTGACCGTTCTTCCCAGCATTAATGATATTTGTCTCATCAGTGAATTTGATGTACGGTTTCTCACCATTGATTGTCACTGATCCACAATTATTCCCAACCTTGATTGTAAGTTGGCAATCAATGGACTCAGTGAGAATAGCAGCTGTGTCTAACGGGGTTGGTTTCTTGCTTGTCATCTTGGAAGTTTTTCATAGAATCGTTGGGTATATCTATGGAAACCGCTCATCTTATACAGAATAATTAGGATCCTCATCCAAAGCTCAACCACCAAAAGGTTGACTCAGGAACCGATCCACATCAGTCCACGAAGTGAGTCAAGATCGGGTAAGTGAAAAACCCTCAAGTTGGCTCACTTCCGATTTCAGTCTGATTTCTCGGAGGGAGTAAGTTGGCTCACTTTTCTGGAATTGGGTTGATCCAACATTAGATTTTTTCGAAAATCTGTGAAAGGATGGTCCCTATTAGTATAGGATGAGGGAGACACTTGTGAGATTGGCCCGAGAGGGCCGAACAAGAAAGTCGATTTGGGCTCACCCTCAGGTGAGCCAGAACCCCCTCGTCCTATACTACTTGTGGATAGTTCCTTCATCACTCGTTTCGATGTGATTTATAATAGTTTTATTATAATAATTTTATTGGCTCCATGTCTGACTAATATCAGTCATTTGGAATTTTTCCGGGTTCGTTTACTGGCTGCCATGGCGCCCTTGGCTTGTTCCTTTCATGAAAGTTAACTATGGTTTACAACGTGCCTGTCTCCATTTTGCATGTAAAAGGTCCTGAGAGTAGTGCTCCATCTTGTGGGCTGTGACTATGTTACCGCCAACCCTATGCGCAGGTGGCGGCCTGACTGGGTTGGCAACATCCGTGTTGCCACTCCTACTAATATTGCTAGTGATAAGCTGGATGTCAACTTCCTTACTTAGGTAAACCTTACAGGATTCAAGGTGAGATTTTAATATGCTTTTTCTTGCAAAGCGGCCATGGATATTTACTAGGACGGTCTTTCTTACTTTAGTGGTCTTTGTCTGTAGCGGCAGCTATTGGTTGCTTTCTAGTTAAAACAAGCCAAGGAAAACTCGTTTCTTCGTTCTAGTATTATCATGGCAACGCAGATTGAGCACCAGTAGTGTGTCAACTGTCCAATGCTACTCAATAGTACCATATTGTATATGGAGATTACAAATGATATAAAGGGGGTGTAGAAGAGTTTTCTAAGACAGTTGGGTGGTAACGTTGGGGGAGGTGCACTTTTAAGTGAAAATACTTACAGACGTGTTAGATTTGCTTGGTTGCTGAAGATGCCTACAGGTAGGCAGGACAATTGGTTATTATGAAGATATCTAGTGCGAAGACAACAGTGACAACCAGTACATCTCACAAAGGACACCATTAGTACCTCTTTAAATCAGTACTGGGGGTTCCTCAGTCTCAATATGCATACCCTTCGATTGGATATAAGACGCCTGATTTATTGTGTAGCTAAATGGCCGCAATATCTCACAAAACTAAAGAGTTTAGATGGAGGATCGTATACTTTTCTTTTTTCGTATCCTCTTAATTTGCTTCTCTACAGGAGGGATATTGTCATTGGGTCATTTGCCTGTTTTGTGTCTTTTTTGTGTCTAATCGAAATTAATACAAAACGTTTTGTTTTTTCACGGCTGAGCGTAGCGAAAGAGTGCAAAAAAGGTATTTTTCGCTTACAAATATTTTCGTGCATTTGCTCTTGTTCTGCGCAACTCCGTTGAACCTGCCATTGTGGTCTTTGTTTTTCCTCGTGGTAGTTGAAGTTGCCCACCCACCCACACTGGCTTCATGGGAGTCGTCCGCTGTTCTTCTTGACAATGTATGCCTATGTGTGTGGCTTATGATTTATCGTGAGTGTGATTGCTCTGGTAGACCACTACCCCATGTACTGAACAGTCGCTTTGTGGGTGAAAAACAGTACAATACAAAACTCGAAAAGCACCAACTTTGAGATAATGTGTTTATCAGCTCAGCGGAATCCAAAGGTTTTGGGACATATTCAGAAAAAATAACATATTCAAAATATGAGCAGAACCATTCTGAACTGGTATCCAGATATGGACTTCGATATAAAATCGTCCATAAAGTGAAGCCAATCTTCGTAATTACGCTCGGGGAGCATTGCGGATTGTGGTCTGTTTGTCTTTTGGGGGGGGGATGGGGGGGGGGGGGGAGGAGGTGTGGGGGGGGGGGGGTAGTGGTCAACTATCCGAAATAAGATTAAATTGACAAAATCTATATCGCCTTTTCTCAAAAATTTGAAAGCAGTCTCCTAGAATGAGCTGGTGAGCAGCCAGCTGTTTTACTTCTATTGTCTGCATAATAGTGTCCCAAGAACCAAGGTCACAAGGCCGGACTAGGTCTATTTATAGCATTACACAGCCCCCTATCCGGGCATATTAGGACTAGCGGCTGCCCATTCCTCCCGAATATTCATCCTAATAGCCTGCAAGAAAACAAGTTTTAAGCAATTTTCTCGTGGAAAGCCAATTTTTTTCGACTTGAGAGGTCATAAATATGCTCGATACTAGATCGGTTGTCCTGTATCGGGAAAGTTCGGATTAGAGAAGATAACCTGTAAAATCACGAAAACGTGGTGAGGAATTTTCGTCTATCATCCTAGGAGGCAGAGATTTTCGAACAAAACGACTAATTACCGTAGCCCACGTATAACATTGCTGTTGTTAGGTATTAATGCAAAAATTCGAGTTTTTCTCAGGTATATCAGCCTTACAAGATTTTTAAACTTCTCAAACCATCGAAGATATTGCCTTTCAAGGAGCTGATTCGATTCCCGTACAAAAACCTGGATGGAAACCAACAAAAAAAGAGAATAGCATAGTCTTGTTTACCAAGAAATCCAGCGATGTCCGGCGTATATAGGATGTAATGATAAAGAGCATCTTTATTAAAAGAAATAGAAAATTGCATCCATTATGTTTTATTGCAATAACATACTTGGTCCGCACAGTTTCAATTGGCGTTTATCTTCGCTCTTGTCTCAAGAAGAAAATACATAATATTATATTTGAAGCATGCCACGATCGCAAAATTCAAGTATGTACATTTACACGATAATTTACATATCAGTTAGCACTTTCCAGAAAAAATGCAAGCAAGTTACACATCCACGCTGTAGGAAGAGCTCAAAAAAATTGATCGGATGCTGCTTCACGGTCCATAGCTTGTTCCACATCTCCTCATCTCGAATCACGCCCAAAGGCGATGCGAGCCTTTCACCTTGCCGCTCCGAAGCTGAGTGACACGCTCCGTGTTTTGGCTGTAAGCGTTATCCATTTTTCGTCGCAATAATGCCTTAGTTTGAGACAAAACAGCAACGCCACATCAGCATTGTCCTTTTTTAAAATCTCCTCTTGCGCTTGTCGTAGGTCTACTTGCTGATCAGCGCCCACGCAAGCCTCTGGTGCCTGTACATTAAACTTTGGGCATAACGACACTCGGCGGGGCATCAGAAGTTGCCTTATACCCAAGTCTCATTATAATTATTTTATCACTCTCTTAGTAGTGACTCGCATTTTTTTGAATAATGAGAAAGTTTTCGAGTCTGCGCAGTGGTGACCTGCAGAGCTTCGTCCTAACAGTGGTCCAAATCCGAATTTTCTGGGGTGACGACCTTGGAGGGGACGCGCGCGCCAAACAAGAAGTAAAACTCGCAAACATAGCTGCTAAGCACTCATTCCGTTTCTGTCACGGTTGTGGTCAGTTTGCGTTTTGATGCTTCTACTTCTAGTGCAATTCCTGTACTTTCTTTCGCAATGAGTGACGAGCTTCCCCAAAATCGAGTTTTTGGGTGTGTCACCTACGATGAGCAAACGAAGTTAATTGCTCAGGGTGTCCCCAAAAACACACGCTATTCTACTGAGTACTGGTTGCGAATACTTGATCCTGTGGGGAGGGGAGATGCAAGCCAAGTTGACGAAAGATGACCTCCAATTCACCACCATTGATGGCCAGGAAGTCATGCGACTTGCCACATCATTCGTTTCCTAGAAGTAGAAGCAGCAAAACGCAAACTGACCACAACGGTGACAGAAACGGAATGAGTGCTTAGCAGCTATGTTTGCGAGTTTTACTTCTTGTTCTGGCGCGCGCGTCTTCTACAAGGTCGTCACGACAGAAAATTCGGATTTGGACCACTTTTAGGACGAAGCTCTGCAGGTCACCACTGCGCAGACTCGAAATTTTCTCATTATTTCCATGATGAGAAAAGCACGGACGAGCCTGAAGTGATGTCATGAGCTCATATTTGCAATGGTCGTTTTCTGCAGTTGCGAACTGAAACCGGAAAAAGTTGACTGTCAGTTTGTATGAAGGTCAGCATAAGTATAATAAATCCCACTAGTACGCTTGTACTTGAAATATAAACCATAATACAAAGCTCGGCTTCGGCTCGGTTTGTATGTCGGTTATATTTTACGTACAAGCGTACTGTTGGGTTGTATTATAATATATTCACCAGTTATAGATCACAGGAATTAGTGGGGGTTAATATGAGCTGGGTATAGAATATATTTATACGTCTCCAAGCGCAAGCTCAAGAGCAAAAAGGAGTGAATATAGCTACCTTTCCCTTAAAAGGTGTGAATATAGCTTAAGGTGGCAGACTATCCAAAAATTCGCTGAAAACAAATTTGGGAATTCATATTGAGTGCTACATGAGTTGAAAAAGAATAAATAGCTGCAAATTCTCTGGAAATTGTGCCCCGATCTGACCAGCCGTTCAAGAGTAATGGCCGAAAATGCGCCCTTGCAAGTGTAACAGGTAGCCGAGTGGTAGGCGCAGTGCAATCAACAAGAGTTAGCTTTTATTCCTTTTCTCTCAGGTACACACCTGGGATATAATTACTAGTAAAAGAAGAAGCGGCAAATAAATAAGATTTTCTCTCCGGTGCACACCTGGAGGTTGAATACTAAATCTTATTCTTCTCGGTTTTGTCGTTGCTATAAATCTCATGAAACAAAAATGCGCTGCCGCTTTTATGCAACAGACGCCGTACGCTTACATACGGAGATACACTAAATCTACATCAGTTAAAGTTCCGTATTAGTCCCGTATTAGCCAGGCAGGGATACTACAAAAGGAAAGATTTTTTTGTTGCACGCTGTCATTTGTTGGCAGCACTGTATTTGAATGTGAGCAGACCGTGCGCAAGTTGTCGTATCATGGAAACACGCGAAAGTTTGCAGAATTTTGCTCCAAGTCCAACATAGTCCAAAACATCACGTTAAAAAACCAAGTATGGGGCTGCACGGCGGAGGGCGAAGAATGCCGCCGTGCAGCAGGACTTTTTCCAGCACCCTCGTGACGTTGCAGATATGTGGCTTGATTATTGTAGTTGACGTTGATTTAGTGACTTTTGCAAGTTTAAGTCGTGTCAAGAAGTCAGGTTGGATTCAGTACTGGCCAGTAGTGGAACGTGAGTGGTAGTCTTTGCCGGTTTCTGATGGTATCCTGGATTTGGTGTGCAGCGCTGTGGAATGGCTTGCTGTGGAGGTCCCAGCACTGGATGTTGTATCAAAGGTACGACCTCGTAGCACGTGTTAAATCTAAACAAATTAAAAATTGACTTGGGACTGCGTGAGTCTGTGAGAGAACGCCAACTCGTTCCGTTTTGACAGATTCCAGGGCCACGTTGAGGGGCCCTACCCCATCACCCATGGCTACTTCTGGACTTGTTGTGGTTTGGGTCCGGCACACGGACAGAATGGGCACGAAAATGTGAAAAAAATGTAAATGCATTTGTGTGGCTCCTGGATGGCTCGCACACCGTGGCACTATGCAGGAAATTTGTTTTTCCGGCCTAGAAAGCCTGTCAGTGAGGCTCAAGAACTTGTAAATCATGTCCTGAGGGCCAGCATAGTAGCAGGAATGTGTGGTCAAAATTTCACTCAAATCCATTGACAAACACCACAAAGCTATAGTCACTCCTTTTTAGAGAAAGAAAGCTCCTCAGTGGGTTATTTTTGATTGTTTTCCTGAGTGGTGTATATACCTCCTTAGTGGTGTATATGTATAGGATATTGACCAAGACGAGGTCTATATGGGCAATATAGGCCGAGTAAAAGACCGAGGTCCGCCGAGGTCTTTTACGAGGGCGATATTTCCCATATAGACCGAAGTCGAGGTCAATATCCTATTTATCACGATTCCTTTGCCATAACCCCAAAATTTGAACCTTTAGGAGCTATTTTAACCTTTTTAGTATAGCATTTGTACTATAGTGTACATAGGATGTTGCCTATTTTTGGCACAAAACTGTAAGAACAACAGGGTTCAGCATCTGCAGCACAGTAGCTGGGTGGTATAAGGGGTTGCTTGAGGTTCATACTGTTGTTAGTTCGAATCCTGCTTGTTCTCTTCCTTTGTCTTCTTTCTTTCAATTTTTCTTTTTTAAGTGGAGAGAAAAATTCGAAGTCCCTCCAAAGTCGAAAGATTACAATGCCTAAGTGTTCGATACAAGCGGTCGATATAAGCGGACGATATTCCGGCGATATGGGTAATATAGGACCAGTCAAGGATCACGAGAATTAGTGGAGGTCGATATAGAAGAGTGATAAACCTCCTTAGTGGTGTATATTGAACAGTGTACAGGGAAATTTATAAACGTCATGGGAGATCTGGTATATGAGTGTGTGTGTATATGGAGTGAGGTATGTGTATAGATAATAGACCGGTTAGGAGGTCTATACAGGATATATAGACCGAGTAGAAGACCGAGGTCCCCGAGGTCTTTTACGATGGCTATATATGCTGTGTAGACCAACTAAAGGTCTATAATCTATTTATCGTGTTCTCCACGCAATAGGTTCTCTTATTGTCACCAAATATAATTGGTTTACTTTCGCACGGGATACTCGCAATGGCATAGTACTTCCCAGAGCTTTGTCAAGAGATGTTAATTGTCATGAAGCGTTGTAGGCTCGCTCGTGCCTTTTACTAGCTTATCTCTCCACCATGGTCAACAGTGATACATTTCACCCCGCTGATACATTATTTTCTTCCGAGTATCATCTTCTTTCCTTCTTTTTTTTTCTTCTCTTGCCATGGCTGGCTAACGCCCCCTCCTTTGCGTTGGCTTCTGCCATTGGACGGTGATATAATAATAATAATGTACGACATATCCTTATAATTCTAGTATTATACTATAGCCTATACCGCATTGTACGGAATTGTAGGATCAAGGTCAATGTTTAAATTAGGTTCCGCATCGGTACCACGGTGGCTGGGTGGTAACGATTGCCATACAACAGTCGGGCCAGATGACGTACAACCTCTTGCAAAAGCCATGCAATAGTGGATTGCTGATAGACTACGCATCTGCTGTGCCCCATCACATCAAACTTGCCGTTGCCAAGTCTCAATTCTTAAGAGCACAACGCCTGTATTCCAATGACACCATGTGTAAATAAAGAGAACAGAAAATTCAAGACCAACTTCAACTCAACCAGTATCCCGAGAGCCTCATCATCAATGCCCGAGAAGCAGCAAGGAAACCTAAGCGTCGCCGCCGAGGTAATCCGTGTTGTGAGTTTCTGAAGCTGCCATATAATTATAAGTCGGACAGGGTGCATCACAGCGTCAACAAAGCTATCCGGAAGCACAAGTTACCAGTCAGGGTGGGTTACGAGCATGCGGGTAGCCTCAAACGTCAGCCGTGTCAATCAGCACAAAGTCCGCCCAGCTGCATTAAGGAGCCCAACATCAGAAAGACAAAGAGAAGAGGACGCCCATTGGGACCGCTTCTGACTTGTAAGTCGGGTTGAGTAAAAGTATGTTTGAAGAAGAATGTGATATACCGGCTGCAATACAAATCGTGCAGGGAAAAATGCATCGGAAGGACGGGTCGCACACTGGAGACGAGACTGGAGGAACACCACGGTGAAGCTCGTAGGCGGACTGTGGATAAGCGACAACATGCGAGCTAAGCATGCAGAGATCTCCCTAGGTGTCGGGGACATCATCTTCTGGGCAGGGTCTGTGGTTACAAGAGCCAGTGACAAAACAAGCCGCAAATTGCGAGAGGCAGTGGAGATCAGAAACGAAGGCCCAGAGATCAACACCGGTGCTGGATGGTCATTATTCTAAAACAGTCACACTACACTGGCTATCTAGTATTTTCTGGAAAACCCTGATAAGGTCACATTCGTGTATTGCTTGCGAGAAACCTGTTCAGACATTTCTCAAGTTATCTAGTGACATCTGCGCTGTGCTAACGTATTACCAACACCCAGCATATAAGTCAGTGAAAACTTATAACCTTTACTAGTTTCAGACATGTCATTATTCTAGCACTGAGGTAACATGTTTAGTCATAGAAATATTATCAACACCTAAAAATACCAAATTAGTGTATACTAACTGCTCCTTGGCAGACTTCCACTTCATATTGCATCCTGATGATGGCAATTTGCCGAAACGTTGAAATTCCAGTGCCAACAGCCCCCCTGCGTGGGCCCAGAACCTGTCGCGCCTGGTGGAGAACCAACAGGTTCAAATACAGAGCACGCAGGACGAGATCTGAGAGCTGTAGGCAGCGCCTACCACAGCTCATGAGGCCAGAAAGTCGAAACCCTCGTTTGCCTCCAAGGGTTACGAGCAGCAATTCGACCTAAACAACGAGGTGTTGGCTACGATGGAGAGGGCAACGCGACAGGTGGGCGCAGGACGCCACCAGGACGCCTTTGACTCCCTCCAGCAAGGTACGCAAGTTCTCACTAAAAGAAATAAACTGCTCAGATTAGCTGATAAATAGGCATGGGATACTGTGGCCGAATACATTGGTGATGATTTTTGCCGACGAAGACGACGAAACCAGGAAAATCCGCTGCGCTAAAGTGGAGGCCACGAAGAAGAGAAAGGATCGAGGGTCCCGCCGTTCTCCTCAACCCAGATAGACCCCTATACCCAACGGGGCAACGCCAAAGGGTTCGCCAGGTCGAATACATTTCGCGAGGGGAGTGATCAACCACGCTGTGCCCCTCTTTTAGCAGCAGCGGCCACTGCAGAATCTGCGGCCCCATGGGGCCATTGGGCAAGAGACTGTCGCCAGCCAAGAGTGACCATCGATGCCACTTCACTTGCCACAGTGACAGCGCCCAACTTCTGGCCAAGGCCCGTATACTGCAGGCCATGGAGGGTCTTAGAAACCAGCTCTGAGGGCAGCACCAGCAGTTGCAGCCACAGCAACAGAAACAGCACCTCTGCCAGTGTTCTGACTAAACAGCAACAGCAAAAGCAGCAGCCGGGTTCAACGTCCTCCTCCCCGCCGCCACCACCACCGGCAGACTTCATCTCTACTCCACTACACAGTGGCAAAAAACGGAGAAACTCCCACCTCTCCCAACCAGAGGCTGGAGACCTGAAGAGATCAAACGGATCTGCGCCACAACATGACCAGCATGATGCGCAGCCACCCCAGCAGGATGGCCAGTCCTCTCATGCCCAATGATGGATTCCAGACCTCTGCGACTGCTAGTGACTAATGCATTCAGCCTGAGCAACAAGATAGGTGCCCTGCAGCATGCAATCCTGCAGTATAATGTAGACGTGGCAATAGTAACAGAAACGAAGCTCTGCTCAGCTAATTCCTCCCATGAGTTGACCATCCCAGGATACTCACCCCCTATAAGGAAGGATCGAGATGCCCATGGTGGCGGTGTGGCAGTGTGGGCTAGGAGTGAACTATCCATTACCCACCACGACGATATAGATTGCCGTGATCACGAGCTCTTGTGGATTTCCCTCGCAATGCACTCCGGAACAAAGACTGTTCTGGGTGCGCTCTACCGGCCTGGCTCTTGTGCAGAGACAGACACCAGCCTGATGGACTACCTAGACAACACTTTGGGTGATGTCCGCCGTCTTGGCAGCAATGTGATAATTGCAGGGGACTTCAACGTGCATAATTCAGCCTGCCTACAGAACTACCCGAGCCGGTGAATGCCTGGAGGAAGTCTGCGCAGCACATCATCTTGTCCAGCATGTCACCCAGCCAACCCGCTTCAACCATACTCTCGATCTTATCAACTCCGATTTCTCACACCCCGTTTGCACCACAGCCTATGCACCACTTGGACGATCTGATCATGCCGTTATCATTGCCGAGTTTCTCCAACAGCATCCACGACGCGAAGATCCTGCTGTTCGACAGGTTTGGATATACGCCCTTGCTGACTGGCACCGGCTGAGAGCCTACCTCCGCAACATAGACTGGCCCGCCAAGATCCATGGGTGTGCGGAGCAGACCTGTCAGCGCGTGCATGGAATGAAACAGTTCATACCATCCAAAGAGCTTGTGGTACACCAATCCAACCCTGTTTGGTGGTCACCGGACTGTTCTTACGCCAATCATGCCAAGGAGCGGGCATGGAATCTGTGGCGACGCGATCCCCGCAACGATAACCATAAGGTCCAGTACATCAACTGGCAGAAACACGTGGACAGCATCGCCAAGAAAGTAGCTCAGAAGATCGGGGCGCTCTGGCGATCTAGGCGAGCATTAAGTCTGAAGGCCCGTACACAGTTCATGAAGTCCATCATCATGCCTGATCTGCTGTACGGGTCGACAGCATTTTTCGCCTGCCTGCGACATAAGCAAGTCTCTCGCTTGCAAGTACTCCAGAACCGAGCTACCAGGGCAGTGTTTGGCCAGCCACCCCGCTCTCATGCTCAACCCCTCCTGACCAGCTTGCACCTCTACAGCATTCAGGAGCTGCACAAGCAGAAGATGCTGAGGTTTGTGTGGCGTTGCCAGCACAATCGAGCCAGCCCAGCCCTCCAGGACAAGTTTCGAAGTGCTCATGGAAACACCACCCGCCTCCAGCAAGGACAGGGTTTGCGCCTGCCGCTAGCCCGGTCAACAGCAGGGACATCCCGTCCATCGCACTGTGGTGCCATCCTCTGGAACACCCTCCCCAGCGAAGTTCGCCTACTCAATCGTCCCAGTGAATTCGCCGTAGCTGCACTGCCCTTCACGCTGGCGGGCTAGATCTGCAAACTCCGTGAATTCTCCCGCCTTCTGTGTTCACAGTCCCATACTCCCCTTGGAGTAGTCTGCACGGCGCTGCTGCTGTTGCTGTTGTTGTTGTTGTTGTTGCTGTTGTTGCTGTTGTTGCTGTTGTTGCTGTTGTTGTTGTTGTTGTTGTTGTTGTTGTTGTTGTTGTTGTTGTTGTTGTTGCTGCTGCTGCTGCTGCTGCTCCAGCAGCTACTGCTGTGGCTGTAGTTACAGCCCCTCTCCTTGTCAGGAAATGTTTGCTTGTGCTACTTCTCATCCAGTTGACTTCTTATTATGACTTTGTACGTTATAATTTTGTTGAGCTCCGGTTTTCCCCTTCATTCTAACTCAAGTGCAGTTTAGCGTGTATTGGCTTGTGATTTCCTTCCTTCTGTTTTATCGCTCCACAGGTACCCTCGGTCTCAGGTGCTCTCACATTTGTGCAATTGTTCATTTTGGTCCTGAATTGTCGTCCCTGTTGCTTTGCTACCGTCCTCCTCCTTCCTCCACCTTTTTTTTCTTAATTGGCCTCATTATGGCATTCGCTTCCATGTAATTGGGCTTGTAGCCCGTGTGTATTTGCGAATTCAAATAAAAATATACATACATACATACATCACAACTGTTAACCACGAAGTGGAAGCGTGTCATGCAGCGTGATTAGCACATCAACGTAGAATTCGCAATAAGCTTACTGCAGGTTCCCTCCGGGACAAAGAGTGGTGGTCAACCATCAAGAGCGCAGCTTGCAAGGGACGTTGCTCTGACATCCCCCTGCTGACCAACCCTGCAGGACAAGAGTTCCACTCTTCTCGTTAGAAAGCCGAGTGCTTTGCAACGCATTTTGCGAACAAATGTAGCCTTGGCAATAACGACCTCTGTGCTGCTGACCTGCAACGACCTGCCTATGCCACGCTAAAGCACATTCACTTCCGCGCAGCAACGGTCAAACAGCACTTGGCGAACTTGGCTCTGTCAAAAGCAACTGGACCGGATGGCATCTCTGCTCGTGTGCTCAAGATGTGCTCATCTGAACTTGCAGACCCACTGGCAAAGCTCTTCGCCCTCTGCTGCTTAGCCGGTGTGTTACCTGGGGCATGGAAACTTGCCCATGTAGTCCCGGTTCACAAACGGTCCTCCAGATCTTTGGCATCTAACTACCGACCAATATCACTGCTCACGATCATGTCGAAAGTCATGGAGGGCATTGTAAACAAGCAACTTTTTAACTACCTAGAGAAGCATGAGGTGTTGCCAAACAGCCAGTTTGGATTCCGACGTGGTAGAGGAACCGCAGATATCTTAACGGCTCTCCAACATGAATGGGTCCACACCATAAGTACTGGCGGTTGTGTCCAGGTCCTCGCTGTGGATATTGCCGGTGCGTTTGACCGGGTATCGCACACAGGAGTGCTGTACAAAGCAAAGCAGGCCGGCGTCGACGGACGCCTGCTTGTATGGCTACAGGACTACCTCACCAACCGAAACATCCGCGTTGTGGTTGGAGTCCAGACGTCAAATGCTCAACCCATCCAGGCTGGTGTTCCCCAAGTAGGGATATCAGCGAACACACTGCGCAGAGGGTTTGCGCAGTTATGATGTAATCGAATTTGTACATGTCAACATGCCACGCACGCGGCCAGAAACGTCCAAGTCAGAAAATGAATATTTTTGCCGGGAAACTGGAAGGAGTCTTGATGGAGAAGAAGGAGAATGGCGGCTGAAGTCGGAACCTTGCACTCAGGATCTGCCGTTTCATTGATTGCTTCGTATATTCGCTGCTGGTGAAGGATTCGCCGGTAGAGAGTGACATGCCTACGGTAACAGCCAAGGCTGTAGCGCAGGCCCTGTGCAACGTAAACTGGCGCTGTCACTGGTGGCTGGCCTGGGCGCGTGAGCGTGGCTGAAAACTGACTGAGTGTTCTTAGCTGGTCATTCGTAGCGCTGAACGATCCACTATGGCACGGTGTTAACGGTGGTCGAACCGTCATGCACTCGTAGATTGCACTGGAAATTACTGTGACCTCCGCGCCAGTGTCCACTTTGAAGCGGATCGAGGAGTCATTGACGTTCACATCCACGTACCATGCTTTGGCTGAGGATGAAACGGCACCCAGGAACAGAGGAGTCACGTCAAAAGCAGACAGCGTAGAGGCAGACACCGAAGCAGGCAGTGTACACTCTTGTGGCTCATCCAACTGGTCGCACTGGTCGACCTTGCCTGTGCGGCGCTTAGTGGTACGACATACTTTGGCATAATGGCCTGTTTTGCCGCATGCAGAGCACGACTTCTCCCTGGCTGGACATATCGAACGTGCGTGATGTGGACCACCACAGAAGTCACAGGTACGGGCTGGTTGGGCAGATCGGGGTTTGCCATACCCAGAAGAAACTGCGGAGATGCCTTGGACTGGTGGAGGGCGAGCACTGACGTAGGTATCCACTAGCTTGGCTGTGTCCAAGGCAGATTTATCCTCGTGCTCCAACACAAACGTACGTGCGTCCTGTGACAATGTAGCGATGAGCTGCTCTCGTACCAGAACGTCGCGTACAGCAGCGACATCGCCAGCATTCTCAGCAGCCATCTATTTATTGAAAATATCGGTCAGACGCGTAGCCAGATCCACGTACGAGGTACTCTCACCTAGAGTGTCGGAACGAAACTTTTTCCTATAGTGCTTCGCATCGACATGGAACCGGCGAAGCACGGCAGTACGGACGACAGCAAAGTCCGTGGTGTCGTTTGCTGACATCGCGTTGTATGCTGCCAAAGCCTTGCCAGTGAGGTGAGGAGCTATGGCTAGCGCGAAGCGATTTGGTGCGATCCCATGACCAGTGAGGACACGGTCGGCCATGGTGAACCAGGCGTCAGCATCGTCTGAATCGTTCAGGGAACGAAAATTCGGCAGCGGCGGCGTGCACGCCGGAGCCTGCGCTGGTGCGGCTTGAACCAGGCCCGAGACCGTTGCCGTGATCTGCTGCAGAAGCTGCGCAGTGGAGGCAGACTGGGCGGCGGTGTTTAGTTCATGGGCTTGCTGTTGTTGCTGCAGAGTCGTCAACAGTTGAGCCATTACGTCGGAAGTCGAAAGCTCAGAGCTAGTAGCGGAGGCCCCGTCCGAGCTATGCACCTTGGGCATTGTCTTGGGCATGACTGATCCCGACGCAAAACTACCAACAGGCTACTAAAATGAAACTATTTCGAATTATTCTGACACCATGTCATGGTGTTCTGTAACCTTGCATGAACAAGGACAAAAGACAAAGGAAACTAATAAAGCTACAAGGATAAGCGTTGGTACAAAGAAGGCAGTACAGAGACGGGAATCGCGAGAGTGTCCAGATGCATACGCATAGAATCCTAGTTAGGTAGGACACGGATATGTGCAAGACACGCATACGGAGCGTAGTGCGTGCAGGGTACAACAAGAATGCATAATAGGACATGTGAATTACATACATAGAACACAGTAGATGCAGCACAGAGTAGGGGAGCATCATACATGGACAGGGCAGTCCATAAGAGTACATGCATAAATACGGTAGTGCATACACAACAGTCATGTTATTAACTGGTCCCACTAACGGTCCTGTAACACTTGGAATTCTTTGTTTCCGTGGGTTTTAGCTTGTGCCCATTTTCGCTGCGCTCACCTTCCCCTAGATGTCTCAGTAACATATCAGGTTTGTGCCCTGTTATCGCTCTTTCTGACGGCTTATTACCGGGTTACAGTGATGGATAATTGCTTCATAACTCGTTTGCACTTGATTTCTTATATTTTTAAAATATTTTATGGGCTCCGTGTCTGACTAATATGAATCATTTTGAATTTCTCTGCGTTCGTTTACTGGTTGCCATGGCGCCTTGGGCTTGTTCCTTTCGTGAAATTTAACTATGGTAAGCAACGTGCCAACCTCCATCTTGCATGTAAAACGTCCTGAGAGTAGTGCTCCATCTTGTGGGCTGTGACAATGTTACCACCAGCCCTATGCTCATGTGACGGGCTGACTGGGTTGGCAACATCTGTCCTGCCACTCCTACTAGTATTGCTAGTGACAAGCTGGATATCAACTTCCTTACTTAGGTGAACCTTACATTATTCAAGGTGATGTGTCATGCTATATTTGAATATGTTTTTTTCTTGCAATGCGGACATTTTACTAAGACGGTCTTTTAAGTGTTTTTTTTTGTATGTAGCGGCAGCTATTGGTTGATTTATAGTTTAAACAAACCAATGAAAACTCGTTTCTTCTTTCTAGTAATATCATGGTAACGTGGATTGAGCACCAGTAATGTGTCCACTGTCCAATGCTACTTAATAGTACCATACTGTATATGGGGATAACAGATGAAATAAAGGGTAGAAGGGTTTTGGTATGGTATTGATTTATTTGAATTCGGTATCTCAACAGTACATTGTACAACTTGGGAAGATCCGAATGACATAGACACATAAACATAAAAGTGGAGTAGGTGCTACAGCGGATCATATGGGTTTTCTAAGACAGTTGGGTGGAAACGGGTGGGGGAGGAGCACGTTTAACTGAACATACTTACAGAGTGTTAAGATTTACTAGGTCTTTGAAGATGCCTGCAGGAAGGCTGGAAATTTGGTTACCTGAAATATCTCTATTGCAGAAACAACAGTGAAAACCAGTACATCTTATAGAGGACACCATTAGTACCTCTTTGATTCACTACTAGGGGTTCCTCAGTCTAAATATGGACAACCTCTGATTGGATATAAGACGCCTGATTTACTGTGTAACTTAAAGGGGCACTCCGGCTTCATTTTCGACGCCGAGTTTTCGATGGCAAGACGACGGTTGGTGAAAGAGAAGACCCCTCGACCAAGAACGAGTCTCCAGAACCGATCGAGTCGAGCTGGAGGACGACTTCGTGAATTTCGCTGAGCGAGCGTTGATGACGTAATGAGGGATTAGCTTGTCAGCTGAGCTATATACTTTTCTATTGAATTCAATGGGAAAATATTTTCTTCGTCCACATGCGACTCGTTTCTTCTGTGTTCAGTCCATTCTTCACCCTACCAGTCACCTCTTGCTACCTGTCCTTCTAGTACTGCTTCTAAAAATCTTGGAGTTGCCGCCATGGGTCGCTGTTGTGCGCCTGGATGCGACAACGACACCAACAAGCCATCTGGCAAAGAATGGTCATTCTTTACATTTCCCTCTGATGAAAACTTGAAGAGAGAATGGGCGACGAATATGAAGAGAGTTGGCCGGGGAGATACTGCAGCTAGGAGCTTCAAGCTTTTCCAGCCAAGCAAGTATTGTAGACTGTGTTCTGCTCATTTCGAGGAGGACCAGTTCGAAAGGAATTTGATGGCAGAATTTGTATCAACAGCCAAGATGGGGAGTACTACAAGGCTATCAGCTCGTAAACTGAAGCCAGGTGCAGTTCCAACGATCTTCGCCCACGTGAAGAAGACAGAGCCTCGCAGAGAGTCGCTGTACTTGAAGAGAAAGGAAGAGACTATAGCATTTTCGTCAGTTCAGGTAAGCATTATTTGCCATCAAAATACTTCTCTAAAAATTCTTCTGTGGTAAATATTTGTTGTGAGCTGCTAAGTTTGACTTGCATGCAAGTTAGTTGTGAATACACTTACTAGTAGTAGTACCACCTGCACATCAGCTACCATCTATTGGCTACCACAGTCGTGGATACAGTGACTATTATCTGTCAGCAACTTTGTTCCAGTATTACTCATGTCGTTCCAGTATTACCCATGTCGTTCAGGTATTACCCATGTCGTTCCGGTACTACCCATGTCGTTCCGGTATTACCCACGTCGCTCCAGTATTACCCACGTCGCTCCAGTATTACCCACGTCGCTCCAGTATTACCCACTACGTTCCAGTATTACCCATGTAATTCCAGTATTACCCACGTCGTTCCAGTATTACCCATATCGTTCCAGTATTACCCACGTCGTTCCAGTATTACCCACGTCGTTCCAGTATTACCCATGTCGTTCCAGTATTACCCATGTCGTTCCAGTATTACCCATGTCGCTCCAGTACTGCCTACATCGTTCCTTATCAGTGTTTCCATGCCCGAAAATTCGATGGAGCTGGAAAGTTGATCAGATCACCAGATGTTTCCGATGGGAGAATTTCGCAGGATCTATAACTGCGTGTGTTGGAGCGTGCGTACAATTTATTAATTGCTGTTACCAAATTATTTGCACCTGTGTACTGTAGTTATGAATAAAGGGCTGTTACTGTATATATATTCTACAGGCAGTGGCATCAGGTGTGAGCTCTAGCTCTGAGAGTCTGGAGCCTTCATCAGCTGAAGCAGTGCTCAATGATACTCCAGTAAGTGAGCAATGTCCTGGAATAACTACACATGCTTACGTGTCTATTGCCACATCTACAAGTGGTTGTGTTGTTGTGACATTGCAATGACAAATGGACTTCAATAATACACTTCTTCTATCTATGATCCAGAATAATACTTGTGTGTGTACGTGTGTGCGTGTGTGTGTACTGCTCTGGCCTATGTAGGCACAACCGTCTGTTGCACGTACTCATCGGGAAAAAGCCAAGTCCATTCCAACGACATACAGTAGCGTGGTCACAGAGTCCAAGCGTTTGAGTCGTGACGGGCCAGAAATCGAAATTCAGGTAAGCGACCTATGCCATTTAATTCAGCCATGGATCCTTTTTCTGACATACAGTCAACTTTGGTAATATCGACTGCGGATATAACAACAATTCGCGAATAACGACAGAATTTCCATGCCCAGAGCAAAGTCCCATCCCACTGTAATACATAAAATGAGACTTCGGTTATAACGGCACTTCGCGAATAAGGACACCTTTTTGATGCCCTGCCGAGTGTCGTTATAAGCGAAGGTTTACTGTAATTCCTGTACTGAGCTAAAAAAAGGCGTCTCATGTGTGTTTTGAATACCCTGTGAGGTATAATTGCATATTGTGTTTTTCATGTGTTCTTGGTGCAGATACAACCACCTTCTCTCGTGAAGGAAACACTCTCAAGTTCTTATTCTTCCCTTCCTTCTTTGTCGGCAAGTTCATCCGTGAAACACCCTCAGAAAGTTCGAGACTTTGTAAGGGTTAGTAGCAACTTTTAAGGGTTGGCGGAATTCCGAAATGTCTTGTGACGGACCTTGTGAGCTGAAATGCGTTTGTGTATATACCTGTATTTCCTTGGTCCTTTCTCTTTTCTATAAAATATATAAGTTGATTATAATATAACGAAGTAGCGGTTGCGACTTCGGCGATGATTTGTAAGAAAGGGTTTGCTCCCCACATCGGGGCTCGCGCTATTCCGCCGGCTTTACTTGACACTTGACTGACTCACGACTGCCATCCAGAGCACACGAGAAGTCCATCGAACCTTCGACTCGGCAAACCTGCAAGAAAGCACCACTCCCTGCTCAATACATAGTGTTTCGGGGAATTGACCCCTCATCAGTTGAGCTTGAGTAGGCTGAGGAAGATTGTGCCTGAAGAGCACCACTTATATAGTGCTCTCCAGGCACAAACATCACCAGGGATACAAACTTACAGAGATGCTCCGTTTCCAGCGCGACAAACACCTCGTGAACACCAGATAGCAGCGTGAGTCAGTGTCGCTCCTGGACGGTGAGACAGACGTCGAGGACCCTCGGTCATTCGCAACGCTGTCACCTCCAAACCAAATAACCGCAAGCCCGCGCTTGGCACAACAGTACAAAGTAGTGGTTGCGACTTCGGCGATGATTTATAAGAAAAGTTTTGCTCCCCACACCGGAGCTCGCGCTATTCCGCCGACTTTACTTGACACTTGACTGACTCTCGACTGCCATCCAGAGCACACGAGAAGTCCATCGAACCTTCAACTCAGCAAACCTGCGAGAAAGAATCACTCCCTGCTCAATACACAGTGATTCGGGGAATTCAACCCTAATCAGTTGAGCTTGAGTAGGCTGAGGAAGATTGTATATATAAGTGGTGCTCTTCAGGCACAATCTTCCTCAGCCTACTCAAGCTCAACTGATGAGGAGTGAATTCCCCGAAACACTGTGTATTGAGCAGGGAGTGGTGCTTTCTTGCAGGTTTGCCGAGTCGAAGGTTCGATGGACTTCTTGTGTGCTCTGGATGGCAGTCGAGAGTCAGTCAAGTGTCAAGTAAAGTCGGCGGAATAGCGCGAGCTCCGGTGTGGGGAGCAAACCCTTGATTGTATGAGATTATATTAAGAACGAAACAGCATGCTGTCCGCAGATTGAGTAAGTTGATTATATTATATGAAGAGCTGCTATGGTGTACCTGTCTGTCCACAGGCTACATCATTGCTTACAGCTAAAGCTGAAGTGAAATCCAGTAGCTCAAGCTCCTCTAGTACGCCTAGCACCGCAGATAGTGACCAAGGCATTGACTCAAGTTTTCGAACAAGCGAAGAGGAGCCTTCTGGGCAAGCTGATGAGGAGCCAGCTGAGTATAATCCGGTGTATGATCGGAAGTTCATCATCTTTGAGCGTTACCTGGATGACCTATTCAAACGCTGCCAAGAGTGTGGAAAGGTGAGGAATTTTACAGCACTGTGCCTGTTGTGGCGGTATGCGGGGCTGTGTGCATGTGTGTGTTCAAGTAGGGGATGCTGTGTAGGGGCAACAATGAATGAATTGGTTTTAGTCATTTGCTTTTTATGTTGCATTACATTGATTGTTCATTTACTGTACGTTGGATTGATGGAGTGTTGTCGGGCTGTTCTTCCTTTGTGTTGTCGTGCAGAAAATCATCAAAAACTCAAAGCATGTTCAGGGATCTCTATTGCTGGAGACATCGGAGTGTGAAGATGGACACATCGACCACTGGACCTCTCAACCGAAGTTGCAACGCGCGCCCATTGGAAATCTGTTGATCTCTGCTGCTATCCTCTTCAGTGGCACTTTGTTTAGCACCTTCACCCTGTTCTCCTCACTGCTCAACTTGGGCGTGGTCGGCAAGTCTGCTTTCTACGATATGCAACGTAAAATCCTGTGTTCTGTTGTCAACGAAGCATGGTCAAACCATGTTGACTCGCTACATATCCTTGGAACTAATGAAAATCTCAAGTTTATCGGTGATGGGAGGTGCAACAGCCCCGGCTACTCAGCCAACTATTGTACATATACGATAATGGAAGAAGACACTGAGCTGATCTTCGACTTTGAACTTATGCATGTTGGCATTACTGAGAACAATAGTGGTATTATGGAGCGGGAAGGCTTGAGACGAATCCTGCAGCGGCTCACACTGTTGCGCAGCTCGCCACCGATAGAAGCACCCAGGTGAAAGCTATGATGAGAGATTCTTTCCCTGAGATTGTACACCAGTTCAATGTTTGGCATTTTGTCAAGTCCATCTCTAAGAAGCTTGTCAATGCCTCAACCAAGAAAGAGATGGAACACCTCAGGAACTGGATCCCGGCCGTAGCTCTCCACATGTGGTGGTGTGCTCAATCGTGTGATGAAGATTCTGTCTTGATGACAGAGAAATGGCAATCTCTGCTCCACCACATCTGCAATCAGCACTCTTGGACAGGTTCCACAAAGTTTATGTCTTACTCGCAGGAGCTCCTGCCACCTGATACTGCCAGCGGCTCCGAGCAGCATAAAGTAC